AAGGTAGTAAAAAGCACATATTTGTCATCTTGCTTGACTATGCATGCATCTTTGTCAAAAGATACAGCATATTTGTTGTCACAAAATTGACTTATGTTAACTAAATTATACTTTAATCTATTAACATACAAAATATTATTTATAGTAGGTATATAGTTTTTACCTATCTTAACTATATCAATGATATTTCCTTTTTCGCTTCCTCCAAAGGAGACGAACCCTTCACGAGGTTGGAAACATAGGAACATAGACCTTTCTCCCATCATATGTCGTGAACAACTTGATGGAGGACCATCCAAGGAGGCTGCACACATGAAAACCATTGGGCCTTTAACTAGGTCCATGGTTAGGAGGCTTCTATAGAGGAGGTGCTTCTTAGACGTATGCTCTTTATGAGCATTGAGTATGATTCGTCTCATTAATCTCTTAGTTTTCATTGTATACATTGTATGATGCTTGTACATAGTAGTTACTTATATAGGTGTATTTTACCTTTATATTTGTGAGGTACTTTCTTTATTTTCTTATAGGTTATCCGTTTGGAATTTGAAGGTATGTTACTTCGAAACTTTTGCTCCATTTGACCTTGTATTAAAGGTCATTAATTTTTATATTTTTAGTAGTAGAAATGGGGCGACAAATAGTAAAGTATGTAGGTGTAGCTAGTAATTGGGCATTTAGTAGGCCTAGGCTAAATTTTACATATTAGGCTTGTTTTCCTCCATTTTTTTTCCAAAGAATTGATTTAGCTAGGTCTCACCATCATTTGGTGAACCTAACTAAACCAATTCTAAGAGTTTTGGATTGGATTAAATGAAGGAAATAAGCTTGGGCGCCTAGCTCTCCTACCTTGGCCGAAATTACCTAGGCTTCCCCCACATACTTGGATAGCTTGTGCTACAAGCTTCTAGCTTAGCTTGATTCCCAAGCTTCAAAGCTAAATATTGTTCCACAAGCTTCCAAGTTACTAGATCGGTTAACTTGAGTGTAAAAAGGCTAACCATGGTTCTCCTTGAACCATAGTTAGCCTAACTTGCACCACAAGCCACAACCTCACTATATAAGTCTTTTCCTTCACTTTGTAAACACTTTTGATGCATCTATTGAGAGAATTCCAAAATTTTCTCTGAGTTTTCTCTCTTCCAAAAGTCTCAAACCTATTTGATTTTAATCCAATTCTCTTATCTTCTTCATACAAGAGTGTGGAAAGTTTTGAAATGGCTAATCTTCCTCCAAGGAGTGGTGCCATTTGAGAGTGTTCTTCACCTTCTAAGGTGAACCTTGAAGCTTCTAACTCCATTGGAAGCTTCAATAAAGCTTAAGGAGAATCAAGGAGCCGAAGATCTAGGGAGGAACTTGGAGAAGACACCAACACAAATCTGGTTCTTAATCAAGTTTCCATCACAACTATTGTCTACGTACTAGTGTGAATCCTTCTTTTTCCCACCAAGGATATTTGCAACAAAAAATATTTGTGACTTTGGTATCCAAATTTTTTGGGTCCTTTCCTATTAATATCCACACCCTTAAATTTGTCTTTTTGTTTGCTTGGAGTTTTTCCTCCTTTTCCATTGGTCTTGCAAAAAGTAGTCTTAGGTTTGGATTGAGATGTCCCAAATATAGGATCAAAGCCAAGACCACTTTTGTTTAATGAAAGTCTTTTATGTTTTAAAAGCATGTTTAATTTAGAAACCCATCAACAAATTTAGCTAGGTCCCTCCTAAGTTGTACGTTTTTAGCCTCTAATGTTGTAACTTTAGGTGGGACACTACTAATGATCTTTTCTTTGAGAGTTTGTATCTCTCTTGTAGTGCTTGACATGTCTTTCTTGAGTTTATCATTATCATTTTGTAAAATCTTACATTTCTCGTTTCATTTCTTATACTTAAGATATATCATGTGAGAGATTGCAAGAAGAGTCTATTGATTTTTACAATATGTCAAAATAAAATAACTAACAATGTAATTATACAATATGTCAAAATGTAATATTTACAAATAATTTATTACTTTCTATTAAGTGTCTAAGTTTAATCCTTGGCGAAAATGATCTTTAGCTAAAGGCTTTACTTATCTCCCGATCAAACTAGATTAATTTAAGGTGAAGTCATAAGACACTAGTGTGAAATCAAAAAATATATATTTTGTATATATATAATTATGAATGATGTATACATACAAACACACACACACCCACACACGCGCGCGCACACACACACACACATATATATATATATATATATATATTAAAGTGTTGGTTGTTATATTAAGTATTTTTCATATTTAAAGCGGACATTTAAAAAGGATAGATATTTTGTCTTTTAAGTTTAACAAATCTATTAAGAGAGAAGTTAACTACAAATGTAAGTTTCTTATATTTGAATTAACAAGACTTTTTACGTTAATATGGTCAAGATCTGTTAGCAAGTGTACTTGATCCTAATCGAAATTTCATTGATCTTCATGTTGCTTCCAAAGTTTGTAAACACATTTTGTTAAGGGTGGTTTAAAAATTTGTGAGCTTTATGGATTTCATTTAACTCATACAATGATGTTTCATTTCATAGGAAGAAATATATTCCATGTTAAAATTTTTGATGGAGAAAATTTTGAAGTTGATTATCCAATATTCTCTATTAGTACAAAATTTAAATTCTCAATAGATTTTTTTTTTAAAATCATAAAGGTGGTATATCAGTTTAAACAAGTATTATTTCTGTCATTGTAATTTATCATTGAATTTTTTTATTCATGTATTTATAAATGTAAAATCTATGTAGGATTATATCAAACTTGGACGAACTTTTTATTTGTTTTGGTTAGAGGATTTACTTATGAGTGATGGAACCTTAATAGATTCTGTGGCAAACAAGTTCATTATCAAGTCATATAAAATAGAAGATGGAAATTCATTGGCTATATCAAGAATGGTTCAAGTTTTTTTAATTTTATTAGTTAAATTGTGATCATAAGCTTTGATCCATTACATTAGTAGTAATGTATTTTTCTTTAAAATATTTTCTTTCAACAAAATTAAGTTTCATTATTCAATGCTGATAAAAGAATCAAATAATTTAGATGACATTCATGAAAAGCATGTTATGCCTATTTTTTATAATGGTTGTGCAGAAATTCAATATTATCTGAAAGTTGTTCACTCTGGAAGAACTTGGAGGAAGAAAATGTCTAAAGTTGATGCATATAGACAACAAATTCTTCTCAGTTTTTATTTTTTGTTTTTAAAGTCCTTAATGAAAATATTTTTATTTGTTGTTGAAGATTAATATATTATTGTTGTACATTATGTTATTCCAATTAGCATCATAAAAAATTTCATACTAATGGATCAACAAAAGATTTTATTGAAATATGACAAGGATGATGAATATGAATATTTGTTGAAGAAAACCACAAGAAGTTAATGAGCAATTTATTTTCAAAGGATGGTACATTTTGTTATGTGTAATGTTTTAAAACCAAATGTTATGCTAACTTTTTGACTTTTGGAAGATCCATCAAACCTTTTTTATTAGAATCCATGATGATTAAGTTATCTTGAAGTATTTTTTTTTTGTTAAATATCTTTGTATTTAGACGTTAAACTCTTTATTGAGTGAAGACCTTTTGTTGTATCTACCTTTCTGTATTGATATCTTTTGTACATTTACAAGTTAAAAATTGATGTGAATCTTTTATGTTGTTTTAAGTTTCATTTTCTCCTTAATATTGATACTCTAATGTATGGTTTCTATGTTTTCATTTATAGTCATTAACTTTGGGGATTTTTTTTATGTGTGACATGTTTTTTAATTCGTAGTGTTGAATTTGATCGAATATTATTGTAAATCTATGACAGTAAAAAAAGATAGATAAATAACCGTAATACATGATGATGAAAATTTAATATGTTTAGATTAGACTGTTATGTTGTATAGTTTCTGTCACTATCTTTTGCATTGTTGTAGATAGCTAAATTTATATGTTATTAAAGGTATAATGATTATAATTATAATATATATTTTTTTTACAAATTTTTATTCTAAATAAAATAAATTACTTAGTGAACTTTTCAACATTCAAGATGATAATAGTTTAAAGTGAATCTTTAAATGTTTGTCGTTAAGCAAGACATTATAGCCATTGTATAATTGTCATTATTTTGCATATAAAATCATATAAACCAACTCTTTGTACATTACATAAATTTTTTATAATTTATATTGCTTCTTTTAAGATGTATATAGAATTTTAGCAACTTTTTTTTTTAATGATTTAGATCAATCTACATATTAAATTGCAAATCATCAACGATAATTTATATTGTTAAAAATTATTGTAATCATTTTTTATTTGATTGACCAACCTTTATCATCTTACAAATTTCTGCATTCAATACAACTTACTTTACTAGTTTGCACATGCATTACCTATTAAGTAAAATGATTTTTTATCTATTAATCATATTATAAAATTAAGTTCTCTTTAATTAGTGTCAACATTTATAAATGAACACTTCTCACTTCTTCAAATTAAATTAACTTTTATGACCAGTTTACATGGTGATAAAACATTTGACTAAGATAAAAACTTTTTCATTCACTTTTTTGATTTCACCATTTTTCTTCTTGAAAAGTCATCTCATCATTCTTCTTCTAAACTCGTGTCAACATTTTTTTTCTCACAAATCATGTATACATGTACAGATTAAAGTGTTAGTTATCTTAGTTATTACGTAAATATTATTTCCTTTATATATTTGTATTTTAGAAGTAAAAACAAGTTTCGTGCCTTCCATAGGTGAGCTACTAGAATTTGAATCCTCTTTCGTAATATTTTCTTTTGAATATTTTTCTAGCAACATTAATAATTATCGAAAAAGATTTGCTTTTACTCCTCTTAACATGTTTCCGGATCCATCCCTTGTATCGCATCACATTAACACCTGACCCAACCCTTGACTGAAAGGGTATAAATGTCTTTCCATCAAAGGCTAAAATCACATAGTTTTAGGTTCACGATAGCTAAAGCAAGGGCAAGGGTTTATCCCTCACGTAGAAAGACAAAATGGCGATGAAATAGGGCACTGTGAGTGAAACTGAGAAGGGTAACCAAGACTAAAGAAGCGTAAATCGGATCTAATCTAAATTCAGTTAATTTGCGTAAGAATCGTGCATGGCCACAGAGACCAAACGCAGCAGTGTGAAGCTCAAATCAGGTGCCCCAGATGGGTCTTCCAAGGGAAAGGTCGATTCTTCGGCTGTCAAGAAGAAGCCCCCCGCTGATTCAAAGATGAAATCTGTCTCCACCGTAACAAAATCTGAGGTACCAATCAGCCTTCACAATTGAGGATTTAAAAGTTGGAGATTTCATGTTGTTTGAGCATAATTTTGAGCATGCGTGTCGTGATGGATTGGATTGTTAAATGGGTGGTTTAAGTTTTGGGGAGTTGTGAATTGGTTGTTGGGCTTTCACTGATTGTTTGAAATTAAAGGTGTAGTGCTCAATTGGGGAAGTTGGGTTCTGAGTTTTGTGGATTGTTTAAATGATGCATTGTGATTTCTGACAAGGACTTGCATTTGATTTCTCTTGTATGCACCTGCTTTTCTTTTCTCTAATTTGAATAGAAATGGGCACCTTGTACCATATGTTTTAATAACGTCTCAATTGTGTTAATTTTGATTTTGATTTTGATTTTGATTTGGATGGTTGGGCATCTAAAATCTTAATGGTATTTTATTTTCTGGATGAATATTTGAAGGTTAAATCTAGATCGACATCATCGTCTTCAAAAACAATAACAAAGACAACTACAAAAGTGAGAGAGAAGAAAGTGTACAGTTTGCCTGGGCAGAAACATGATCCTCCAGAACAGGTTCTGAACTCAGCATTTAATTCCTTGAAATTACAAAACTAATGTCCATACATAGTAATCAACTCTAACTCATCCATGTGGTTTCTTATTGCCTTTGTTGACAGAAAGAACCCCTGAGGGTTTTCTATGAATCATTATCAAAACAGATACCAACAAGTGAAATGGCAGAATTTTGGTGAGTATCCTTTCAATCTTACAGCTGTTTACCAACCATTTTTACTTCCATGCAATGAAAGAGCATCGGTATTACGAAATTGCCTATGTTTAAAACCTGTAATATAAATTCAAGAAACATGCTTTAAATTCATTCATCCTGTTTCAGATCTTATCACTGCAGCTTAAAGTTATCTTCATAAAATGCCTTGTGTTTTGAAATTTTGTGTGCCATCTTGCTTGTTTTTTGATTGGCCGTAGACCCCCACATGTAAAGAGTAAGTGGAAAGAAACAGAAAAATGGGACTAACAGCAGTAACAGCCCATTAGTTTGTGATATAGAAGAAAAAAAGGGACATAGATGGAAATGTGATGAAAGAATGGAATGGAGTGAAGAAATTGACTGGAAGAGAGGGAAAATCCTAACAGACTAGACTAGTTTTTGGTTTGTCAGATAATTTCTCTTGCCTCAGCTACATTTCTCGTAGTCAAGTATTATCCAGTTTTTAGTTTCTGGCAGATTCTCCAGTCAATGTTGGTACCATACATACTCTAAATACAAATTCATGCAATGGTTATGCAAAATAGATAAATAATGATACATTATCTGCTCTGTTGTGTCTAACCAAACTTATTCACAATAGCTGTGTAATAAGTTAACAACTACAACTGTTCTGATATTATTAAACAGAGAAAAATCATGTATCCTTCTCATGAGCCTTCTAGTTACTTAAAGAAGGAATGAACTAAATGCTTTTTGACTTTTTAAGGGCATTAGATGCCTCTATTTCTCATTTAATACTTTGTTTGAAGTATACAATTAAGTGGATGTTAGGATAATTTAACATCACTCTGAAACAAATTAAAGTTTAAAATCATTGACATTAAGCACCTTAATTTTACTGACAATCTTATACTGCTACTGATTAGTGACCTTAATTGCAATTACTTCTTTTGTCTACATTTGCATCACTAGAGAAGGTCTCGTTCCTTTCCCATTCTTTCGCATCTAACGTCGGTTACTGGTGCATGATAATAAAACATGCTAGAGCATCTGCCAATACTCCATCCCTACTCCATTTCAGAAAAAATGGGATTCTCTGCTGATTTATCTATTATATTCAGCTGTTTACCATACAAATGGTTGCTTGTTTCCATAGATCTGAAGATGTTCAATTTTCTCTTTAGACAGAGTTCTTTATGATCTGGCTGATAGGCATTCTCGCTCAGCTGTTGTCCATTTGGTTCTTGGCTTCTTATTGCATATCGTGGAGGACTGGAGTCCTTTTGTTGTCAGAAATGACAGTAGTTTTAGTTGATTACAATAATTCATTCTTGTCACTTTCATTTGTGCATTTGGATGTGTTTGTCCTAAATATCTATTTTTGAATATCTTTAGATACTTGTTTCTCTATTTTCTTCTTATTATTTTCTTATGTCCTTTTTTTAAAACATATTCATTTATCATATAAAAGGGAGAGTAGTGAATGTACAAAATACACAATTAATACAAAATCCTCTCATTTCAACTTGGTATCGATATTAGAGCTCATTTTACATCTTCAAATGGGCTACCCATCATATTAATCACGCACGATGCTCTATAGTGTCGGGTTTGAAGGAGTCTATCAGGAAAACCCTAGTCCAATATCTACTAGAGATATAACCAAAATAGTGTATATAAGTGGGGATAATCCTCACTTTATAAATCGGTTTTGTTTGGTTGAGTTAGGTTCAAATTCACCTTCTAAGATGATATCAAAGCACTAAATCCATTGTTCGGTCACCCGCATTTGCAACACCTCAGGTCAATAGCCTTAGGTGTGAAGGGGAGTGTTGGAAAGCCACCTTAATTGTGGTCACTCCTAGCCTGATTTTGATGTGGCCTCTTTGGGGACTCCTTTGATTGTAGTCTCAAGTGTGGTGGTTTAGTCCTGTTAAGATAATTTTATAAGATATAGTTTAGATATACTAGTTTATCCTCTCCTAATTTCAAGTTTAGTTTCCTTAGTCAGTTTTATCTAAATCCCTAAACTTTAGGGATTGATTATGTTTTATGCCTATTTATTTTATTGTATCCATCAATTCAATAACATGAAAATTATTCAGATTCAAGTTGGTACCAGAGCATTCTGGTCCTGGTTTGGAAACCCTAACCCAGCCGCCACCAAGGCATCTAGGGTTTTTCGAATTTTGTCAGCGGTTGTCGGAGTTGACGCCGCCTGAGTGTTCAGAGGTCGCCGATCGGCGGTTGTCGGAGTTGACGCCGCCTGAGTGTTCAGAGGTCGCTGATCGGCCTTTCCGTCGCGAGCTGCCTCCAGACCGGTGTCTCACGCGCTTTCACGCACGGTTTTTGTCAGAAAAGCTCGCCGTCGCGTGGGGTTCACGCGCCGCCTTCCAGGCCTCCGTTTGCGACACTGTTTGCACCGTTGGACTCACCGACCCTCCTTCTTCTTGTTTTGACCCTTTTTAGGTTGTGGGTCACACTGTAGGTGGTCGTTTGGTTGCTGCTTGGAATTTCGTGGTTGTTTGGGTGCTGCCACGAAATTTCGAGACTGTTTGGTTGCTGTCTCGAAGGTCTTTCGGGATTGTTTAGAGGTGTTTTTTGTTCTTCTCCTTTTTCTCTTCATGGCAGAGATTTCCAAGAATGTTACACCTTCTTCTTTTATCCCTAGTTCAACTGACCGTGGAAGTCGAGGGCGTGGTCGAGGTCGTGTTCGTGGTAAAGGGGGTAGAGGAAACCTCCATTGTACCTACTACCAAAGAGATGGGCATACACGAGACAAGTGTTATTCCTTGCATGGCCTTCCGAGCAAGACAGCTAGAGTGGCTCAATCTCCGATTTCGGCTCTAGAAGTCAAGATTGAACCCTGTTGTTACAGGCCTCCTCTAGGATGTGAACTCGGGGCGTATTCAGGGGAGTGTAGAAGTCGTATCTCCCCCCTTGTTTGTCTGAGCAGTTTTCTTGAACTAGCTTTCGTTGGTGACCTTCATCTTGTCCTTGTGGCCACTGTCAGTTTTTGTTTGTGATTTTCCACGAACCTGGTCACGGAAGGCAGAATGCTCCTCCATTTGGATGTACCTAGTAGCAAGGGCACGGAGCTCGTCCATATCGCGAGGAGCTTCACGACATAGACTGTCGACGAACGGTCCGGGCTTGAGTGCCATGAACATGGCGTGTAGAGCGACCTCGGGATTCAAATTCTGGATCTTTACCGAGATGGCGGCGAATCGTTCCATGAACGTCCGGAGTGGTTCATCGTCACCCTGTCGGAGACTGGCCAGGGCAGCTGATGTTATGTGATGAGGTCAGCTTGTCGCATATTGTGCTGTGAACCGTCTGACCAGGGTGTCAAAGTTGTCGATTGACTCGGCAGGTAGCTGGGTGTACCAGTTGAGCGTGGCCTCTTTGAGCGAGGTCAGAAAAACCCTACACAGAATAACATCGTTATTGGTGTAGAGGTTTACCTGTGTGGTGTACAAGTTGATGTGCTCGTCTGGGTCTGTCGTGCGGTCGTAGCGGTCGAGGTGGAGAGGGTTCCATCCGAGAGGGAGTGGCGTCTCCATGATGCCATCCATAAAGGGATGACGGCGAAAAGTTGGTTGATCCCCTGCGACATGAGTAGGAGCATTGCTAACCTCATGGGCCGATTTGTGTGTCGGTGCATGAGATCGATGCTTGTCAGGCTTTGGAGTCGGTGTCCTATGCGCTGTTGGTGGTTGAGAAACTGAGTGCCCCTCTTCCTCGTTTAGGTGACTCGGTTGAGGGGGTTGATCAGAGGTGCGCCGTGGTAGCTAAGCGCGGATACGCTCATTCTCGGCGCGCAGTGCCGCTAGGTCTGCTTCATGGGCGGTTTGCATCGCAGCTAGGTCAGTCTCGTGCTTGGCACGCATGTTTTGCAGATCGGCGGTGTGTTGTTGCCGCATCTGCTCGACCTGCTCGATCAGCCTTCTCAATGCTGCTTCGTTGTCCATGGTGGTTGTGTGATCTAGTTCGTCTGTTGTGCGTCTGCTATGGCTTCTGGTAAAAACCATAAGCATGGCCGATAAAAGCTGTCTTGATCGGCCCCACGGTGGGCGCCAAATGTTCTTACCGGGAATCCGAGGTAGGGATGATCCACTGGGTAAGATCGGTGAGCCTCCTTCACTGGTACGTTGATGCTCCAAGATGGGGGTGGTACCTGCAAAATAGACTCTGATGCTAAAGTTAGGATTTGTATGAGTATGAGTCTCGTATAAGTAATGCACGTACCTTGGTGTGAATTAGGGTTTCGTTGGGCCTTGGGCATGAGATCAGTTATGATCTGATTAGATAGCAGATCTCGTCTAGACCGAGATCTCCTAGCGCATGTCCGAGGTCATCCTGCGCTGTGATGCCGAGCTCGAGCTCGGCATAGTGGTACGGATAGTACAATTTCTTTACCAAAGCCAAGAGTGGCTTCCAAAATAATACTTATCAATAAAGATTCAGCGAATAACATCATGGAAATAGATTCCTCCACCAATGATGACAATAAAGAGCAAAAAACATGAGAAAAAGGCAAGCTTCATAAATATTGAAAAATTCGAAGCATTTAAAAAAAATAGCAAAAAAAGGCAAGCTTCAAACATAAAAGAGTTGAAGCTAAACAAAAATGAAATTCAGAAAAAATCTACCACAAGCAGACGCTTGGAGAGGCCTCACAATACTCATATGGCAGGGGAAACACTAGAATCCCTATCAACCATCTACTCTTTTGCCCGCCAGCAAGTAGCAAGGGCACGGAGCTCGTCCATATCGCGAGGAGCTTCACGACATAGACTGTCGACGAACGGTCCGGGCTTGAGTGCCATGAACATGGCGTGTAGAGCGACCTCGGGATTCAAATTCTGGATCTTTACCGAGATGGCGGCGAATCGTTCCATGAACGTCCGGAGTGGTTCATCGTCACCCTGTCGGAGACTGGCCAGGGCAGCTGATGTTATGTGATGAGGTCAGCTTGTCGCATATTGTGCTGTGAACCGTCTGACCAGGGTGTCAAA